TACAGATACTGTAGCCAGTTTGATTAATGGATGGGGAAAACATGGAGATATCGAACGAATAGATTTGTTAGAATAAGTCGAAGAAACAGAATGCGACCACAAATGTCTGGGCCAGACCGTGCCGAATTGTCGAATTATCTGCTTTGGTTATCCTGGACCTCGACAATATCTGAAAAACCACTTAGCAAACAGGGATCTGTTTTTTGATGTAAACATAATTCAGACTGATCTGTGATTTGGCTACGATACATTGACATCTCACTGGCCATGTAAAAGTATTAATTCTGCCCTAAGTTTGTGTCAATAGTATTTTTCAAAAGAACACTAAAAGAGTCATGATTAAACCAATCACCATTAAAGACGAAAATCAGATTAAATTATCCACCTGAGTACCGAATCTACACCATATTAGCAACATCACGTTCACCCACTTATGCCTGTAGATCACCAAGGTAGGTGATCTGTGTCAGTGATGGGGGTCCCACTTTAGTTTGATGGGAATGGCGTGACCTACCACCTCACACCGAAATCATACCTCACGATTAATACCTTACGTGGATTCCCCTTTCGACGTATCCAGGTTCAATGGTACTATGATGACTGTGTAAACAAAACGAAATGTTATTGTAGAAACGTATTAGTAAGAATAGACTCAAGAAACAGAATGCAATCACCGCCACTTGGGCTAGCCCATAGCATACAATTGATTAATGCGCGTTAGTTGTCTTTGAATTTGATGGGGGTTGGCAAACTACTCGGTGTTTAGTGACTTGACTGCCGGATGAGTTGGCTTATGCCCAGTCACGTTTCACTGACCCTACATCCTGATGATCTCGTAGATCACTAATTTAACTGATCTATGTCGAATGGTTATGGGCCTACTCATGTTAGACGGGAATAGTGCGGTCAACAGTCACCCTCGAAGTCACACCTCGTGGTCATCACCTAACGAGATTTATCCCTTTGCCGTATCAAGGTGTTATTACTGTTTTGATGACCAGATAACACAAAGGAAGTTCAAATGGTTCAAATGGTTTTGGATGAAATAGAAGAAGCTTTCACTTAACAAGCTTCCATATCTAGTAGCAGTGCATCACCAATACTTGCAGGGAGGAACCATGGTATATTATCGACAAAAGTGGAAAAGGAAAAAGCTGTTAAATCATAGTAAGACACTATCCTTAATCCTCAAGAATATGTCAAGTTTCCTTTTAAAAAAAGCCTGGGAAGTCGTTTGGACTAGCAGCGAATTCCAGCACTTGACTACTCTTAAGGACTATAAGTCATGTCTGCAGTCTGTTCTGCTGAGTTGTGTCTCCAGTTTCTGGGTGTTACCCCTTAGGTTTGTGTTGAAACTAAGCTTAAGGTGGTGTTTAAGGGGATGTTCAGAAGTAATAGGGATTCTGCAAGTCATTAGAGTGTACCTCCAAGACGCCTGTAATGTTAAGGGTAAAGGGTAAACGTTCAGTAATTGTAGGCATTCTTCATAAGACTTGAGTTTGAGTCGCTGAACTGATTTCGTGGCTCGCAGTTGAACACGTTCCAGAGTGTCCTTATACTTTTGGAGTGAGCGAGGAAATACTATGTTTCCGTACTCTAGATGGGGACGAATAAAACTGTTGAAGATTATGTGGAAACTTTTTCCATCAAACTGGCCAAAAATGCGCTTCAGTGTTACTAGCGCAAGGTTTGTTCGAGTAATCTAACACTCTCAAATTGAGGAGATCACGTCTTACAAGCATAGATCAAAACTCCCCTCATCAACACGTTGTAGATCCGACATTTTACTACAAAACTAACATCACGAAAGCGCCAAAGATGGGCATTAGCTGCTCTGGCTTTCACCATACTTGAATTGATTTCATCATTCGTGCAAACACCAACACTTACACAGCTACGCAGATACACGAAATTCTCGACTACTTCTATCCACTCACTACCCATGGTGAGCACAGGATCAGGGTCCTGTCAGTCCTGTAAAAGCGTTTGGCACTTGGAATGTGAAAAGCACATACCATACATACGGACACTAATTGCCAACTGATTAAGTGCGAATCGCATGGCTTGAGTATCATCGTGCAGGCACATAACCAACAGTCAGACACCATCGCGCTTAGACTGTGTATTCACAAACGAAGAATTCCTAGTTGACAACCTCTCAATCCTAGCTCCTCTGGGAAAGAGCGATCATGCCGTCATAGCCTTCAGTTTTGTCATCAAAACTAAGCTAATGTATCCCAACAATAATTTGCGTTGGAAGTTTAAACGGCTGAATGTGCCAGCTCTACATGACTATCTACAACAGGTGGTTTGAGATGTTCACCCTCAACTCGTTGTGGACGGTCATTGGAACTTCTTGCTGCACACGCTCTTATGTGCTACAAACCATTCAGTTCCTCAAACGGTTCCCAAAAGCTGCAAGCCACCTACAGTAATCAAGAACCGTACCCTTCGCCTGCTAAGCCGCAAAAGGCACTGTTGGGCGGAATACAAACGAACTGATAACGACGGAGCGTATAGACAATATAAACATATCAGGAACATATGCACGAAGGCTATAAGAGAAGACAGGCTTCAGTACCAGACAAAGCTTATGGACAAATTTGTCTCTAACCCTGGAAGCCTATTCCGTTATGCAGCCTCTCTTCGTCAAGCCAAAACAGAAGTTTCTCAACTGCTAGGTCTTAACGGCCCGACCAACAACGATGGCGACGCCGCTAACCTTCTGGCGGCACATTACTCTCAAACATTTCAACCGGCTGACATCAACTTTACTGACGACAGTTTCATCTGCAATTCCACAGGACTTTCCGAAGTGGACCTAAGCGCTGACTTGGTGTTCCGGAAATTGCACCACTTAAGACTAGATACTTCTCCTGGCCCGGATATGGTTCATCCTGCCATACTGAGGGAGGCAGCCTCATTCCTGGCAACGCCACTCAACGTGATGTTTTCACACTCGCTAAGCCGAGGCAAATTACCGGCAAATTGGAAGTTGGCTCACATCACACCAATTTTCAAAGGTGGTCGACGCAATGAACATTCAAGTTATCGGCCGGGGGCTCTTCTGTCATTACCTTCAAAACTCATGGAGTCCCTGATATGCGACGGTTTAAACGACTATCTACTGTCCTTAAATTTCTACTCACCCCAACAGCATGGTTTCAGGAAGGGTTACTCTTGTATAACCAACCTGCTGACTGCGGTGGACAAATGGACAAGCATCCTCGATCGCAAGGGAAAGGTCGATGTCATTTACCTTGATTTCTCAAAAGCTTTTGATAAGGTTAACCACTTGTTTCTCACCAATAAGCTCAAACGACTAGGTATCAAACCACCTCTAATCGATTGGCTTACTTCATACCTAAAAAATCGACACTTTACCTCAGGCTATGGAATGTCCTAGTGGGGTCCTCCAGGGCTCAGTACTAGGCCCTCTTCTCTTCTTGATCTACATAAATGATCTTCCTCAACAGGTAACGTCAGACTTATTACTTTTTGCCGACGACGTGAAACTTTGGAGAGAGATACGCAACCAAGACGATATGCAAGCACTTTAGGAGGATCCGACTGGACTTCGAAATTTGGCAGACGATAACGGACTTACCTTTAACACTTCAAAGTGTAAAGTAGTCCATATGCGCCATGTCGCAAACTACAGTTACAACTTAGGAAACTCCTCTCTAGTAGTATCCCAAGTCGAGAAAGATTTAGGAGTCCTGGTGCCCCATGATTTAAAGTCTTACGCTAACTGTGACAAAAATGCCTTCCGAGCAAACCTTGTACTAGTAACGTTGAAGCGCATTTTTGGACAGTTTGACGGACGAACTTTCCATACAATCTTCAATAGTTTCATCCGTCCCCATTTAGAGTACGGAAACATAGTACTCTCCCCTCACTCCAAATGGATAAGGTCACTTTGGAGCGTATCCAACGGCGAGCCACGAAATCAGTTCGAGGACTCAAATCTAAGCCTTACGAAGAACGCCTCCGTTCACTAGACCTTTACCCACTAGAATATAGGCGTCTTAGAGGTGATTTATTAATGGCTTATAGTATTCTTAACACTTCTGGACATCCTCTTAAACACCTACTTAAGCTTAGTTCGAATAATAACCTAAGGGGTAACACCCAGAAACTGGAAACACAACATAGCAAGACGGAATGTAGACACAACTTCTACTCCTTAAGAGTTGTCAAAAGCTAGAATTCGCTGCCGGCCGAGGTAGTTCAAGCGACTTCTCAGGAGTCCTTCAAGCGGCAACTTGACCTATTCTTAGGGACCAAGGACAGCATCACACTATGATTTACCAATTTCTTCTCCTCTTTTATTGTTAACATACCTAGGTTCCTGCCTGGAGGATTTGGTGATCCCCTGCTACTAGACACGGAAGCCTGTTAAGCGAAAGCTTCTCCTATTCCGTCCACAAACATTCGAACCATTTGAACCCCATCTGTTATCCTCAGGATGCTGGAGCCCATGTGCACCGATCTTTTGCAATCAGGGTTGTTCCACTTACTAGGTAGCCTTCCGTGTCCATCAACTTGGTTCAAGCGCCGAACATTCGTTTTTCGTCCTTTCTATTTCGCAGACGAAGCCCCCACCGCGAAAACGCAGTGAGTGGGACTTCCCTGACAGTTATTGTATGCACGTGACCATGTGAGAGCAGCTAGAGAGAGAGAGAGAGTGGACTCTCCCCACCCTCGGTTGTACCGGAGCATTTGGGGTCACCATACAAGAGCATTTGTTTTCTCTTTTTATTTCGACAAGTGATCCGGCAATTTTAGAATTGTTGATGTTTTTTTGGTATGGAAACATTCAGAGGGACGTATTTTCATGGCATCCCGAAATCTTTAGAAAATTCAGATTCCTTCTTTTGGGTTGAAAAACTTTTCTTGTCTCGAAGTGAGTTTATCAGTCATAATTCAGTTCATTTTTGGAGATAACAAAATATTCTCACTCCTAAGTGCTACAGTTTGTTTAATTGCCCTGATGTGACCTTTACAACTTGCGAAGTACGATTGTGTTTTGTGCGTTCGTCTTAGCTACGATAATTTTACCAGCAAGTTAATTAGCTTGTCCTTGTTGTATATGCTTCTGATTTTACTGCAACATATACTTCGAGCAAAGTTATTATTTTAATTACTCGAGTTATAAGGAATGTTTACAAGATGACTTCAGAGTACGTTTGTCAATCAATTAACAAACGATCGTTTGAGTCATCAGACTTAACTTTTTCATCTGAGTTGTTTTAACATATACTGATTTAACTGTTTTCAAGATTTTTCACATTTCCCAGTAATACACTTTGTTATCTCATGGCATGTGTCGTCGTACACGCTGGTGCCGGATATCATTCTAAATCAAAAGAAAAGAAATATAATAAATTGTGTTCCGAAGCCTGTTCATTGGCCGGGAAACTTTTGTCAGTTGATCACAAAAGTGCCATCGACGCTGTGGAAGCAGCTGTAGCGTATTTAGAAGACTGCCCATTAACCAATGCAGGGATCGGTAGTAATCTGAGTATTAATGGGTATGTGGAATGTGATGCGGGAATAATGAGTGGCTCTACCCTTCAGTTCGCCGGGATTGGAGCTGTTCGTAATATGAAGAATCCCGTAAAGGTTGCAAGGCTTCTGTTACAGTCACAAATTGACCATCCTCTGGGTGAGTTAGGACGCGTTCCTCCATCTGTACTTGTCGGTGATGGTGCTCATCTGTGGGCTGCGTCAAAAGGATATCCTGTTGATAATAGTAATCTCGTCACAAAACATTCGCGGGTTTCATGGGAAAAGTACAAAAGTTGGTTATTTAATGGGAACGAAATGGATGCAACTACAAAAGATTCTCATTTTAATCATCATGAAAATGTTCCTGAGTTGAAAAAGTCTCGTTTCCATAGATTTGATACTGTTGGTGCTGTTTGTATTGATATAGAAGGGAAGATTGCTGCAGCATCTTCTAGTGGTGGTATTGCAATGAAGTATGAAGGTCGTCTAGGTCAAGCGTGTACATATGGTTGTGGTTGTTGGGCAGAAGAACTCAGTTCATTTTCTAGTATTGGGGTTGTCACTTCAGGCACTGGTGAACAACTTATAAAAACTCAACTTGCTCAGCGTTCTGCAGAACGTTTTAATGGTGACTGCATTTCCGTTTCCGAAATAGTTCACTCATCTCTCACTGATGGATTTTTAAATTCTAAGTATCTTTCCTGTGATATGGAAAAATTTGCTGGTGTTGCTGGAGTTTACGCTAACTTCGAACGAATTGACTTTCCTAATGTGGAGGTGTTTTTTGGACACTCAACACGATCGATGAGTGTTGGTCACTATCTGCCGAGTGTTATGAACAAACCATTTGTCCGTGTATCACGGAAGCAAATTGATAGACCTACGTATATAGAAGTCTACGCATATACCATATAGCTAGTCTGGAAATGAAGGGTGAATACTTTTGTATCTAATCTTGACCATTTGACATGAATTTGTTAGACGTACTCGGTATCATGAAAGTGTATAACTCTACTGAGCAAGGAGATCGTCGCAATCATCTCATGTAAGAATATTTTTTTCTTACTTTTGCTTCATAGTTTTTTCAGTTGCATTTTATTTATATAAACTACAACTTATTTTTCGAAAAATGTCGAATTGTCAAATTAGTGACTAGTGATCGATTTCTTGTACATATTCGTTGTAATGTACATTATAATTATACTCATCACAAATTACTTTAAACTGTCACATTTGGTTAGCATGTACGTAGACAATAATTGTGAGATACTCGACTGTTACGAGTCTTTATCGACTGGTTAGAAAAAGTCTTTGTGGCTTTATGGTTTATTGTCTGATACACCATGGGATTCTTGTCTAACTGGTCAGTTTTACACTGCCGATGAAATATTTCGTTAGTTGATGATTTCTTTGCTATGTAAATCAAAACTTGTAATCTGGACTGTTAGTCGTTTTAAAGTGGGAACTATGGAGAGAGTTGATTAGTTGTAAGGTCTTAGCCGTACAACTTGCCAAAAATCTGACAATTATTTCAATTTTGCTGTGCAATTAAAAGCAAATGGAAAAAAAACAAATGTTTCGTGCCGCATCTTACGGAAGTTCCCTGTTTGTCGATGTAGTTGTCTTATCTGTTTCTCTAGTTTTGATGAAGAGATAGATTAATGCTTTCAATTCTATGCTTACACAATCATTTTGTTGGTGTATTCAACGCAATATTAAATACATAGTGCATTCTCCGCTAAACGAATATAACCACTGTATTTCCTCGTCATTCATAACATGATTTTTGTCTTTGCATTCATTTCTCATCTCTTAAATTAATTTAAGCAATTTATTGTATGCGATTTCCCCATTCACTTTTTTTTTAGATTGCTATGAATGCTGGCGATAAACTTGAAAACTACTCAAACTCGTGGTAAAGTTGGTCTGGAACGATGACTTTTTACTTCTATATGGCACTCGTTTGTAGAATATTTAACAAAACCTTCAGCGTTATTGAATAAATTATTTCCCAAACTGATGGTATTTCTTTGTCTGTTCTTTGGGTAATAACTATTAATGAATTGTCTGTAGTATATGAATTATAGAAGTATATATGACGAGTAATGACTTCTTGACAAATGTGAAGTTCTGTGTCTCTTCTGCTACAAAATGTAATGAATGACTTGAAGCAAATTTTCTTAATGTATACGCATCACTCTAAGTTTTACATAAATTAACAGCTTGTTATTACTGTTATGTGTTTTTCGAATAAATATCTATGACACCTGCTAGTTCAGATTAGTATATTTATACTATAGCCATGCTAAATTTGTATAAACCAAATATGATTCAAATCCATTATTAAAATTCTATAAGTACACTAGTATAAAAAATGTTCTCTCTGGTGCAAGTAACAACTATTTGTGTGGGTCCGTATATTAGTCTGTTAGCTACGTCTATTGTATAAAAGGTAATTATATTGCTTAACTATGTAACCCTTTATAGGTCAAGTGGGGACCTGTCTCATGACTTGCTGGCTTGAAGATGAGTTTCTGAGCTCCTGAGCCGTTGTTCCTCAATTATTTTCCCGGAAATATACAAACCGCATAATATTGTAAATTTTACAAATGATTTTTCGGCCATTCGATTACCAGCAACTAGTTAGTTGGCAAATCCCAGCTACTTAACATCATAAATACTCCTTTTCCGTCTACATTACAGGATGTCGTCTGAATGTATCACAAATTACACTAAATACGTCAACTGCACATGTTAGAATCATGTCCTTAGATCTTTTGTGTGTTCTAACATTCTAATTCGATTAAAGACAGATTATTGGACGAAACTCGGTAATCTAAATTTGAAAACGAGAGTCCTGTTTGGCCTAATACTCAGTGCGACGGGAATTCGTTAGTGTTAAGTTTTTGTCACAAATACACTTCTGGTCAAAATACTTCATGTCAGTGTTTTCAAAAATTTCAGATAGGACTGTCCTGAGTATTCTGTCAAAATTTCAAAAAATGAACCTGGAAAAGCATCCAGTCTCTAAAGCGCACAGTGCATTTACATTACAATATACTCTCATTTATCTTTAATGTAAACGTTCATATCAGAGGGTAAGGCTACATACTGAGCGATCCCTGAGAAATTGGTTTCCTGTAAAGTACTGTTAAAAGCCTTCGATAATACTTTATTATAGTTTGGGGGATATTCAATTGGTTTTGTTGATTGCTCACTCGTTATTTTTATGGTTTGAAGTGCTTGATTTATGTTCGTTCCACGCGATAATGTTGTAGACTAAATATGCTACTAGTTTTAGAATAAACTTCGGGAAGTGTAAAATTCATTTAAATGGTTAGTTACCCCGGTTGAGCTGTGCTTTATACGCTAATCAGTTAACGGTAAACAATCAATCCCATATTTTAGTGTTCGGTGGTCGGAAGATCATATCGACAATTTCCTAGCATGTATCCCATCATTTAAACTGAGTTTGCCTAATGATACAGATTATTCCCAGGATGAATTTCTTATAGTCTTGATATACAAAAATGGGTAGATTTACGAAATAAAAATGTGTGACATTCACCGTATTGAATATTGCATAAATTTGTAGGCATACAATGAATTATTTAACGATTATCATGTTCACAGAATAAATTGTCAACATTACCGTTAAATACTTTATATACCAAGACATTTTAGTCAACTGAAAACATCAATCTGGTTACTTTTGCTGATACTTGTTGATTGGATCACTTCCGATCAATCATTTTTTAAATCATAGTCCCAAGTAAAGACCAGTAATCTCTCATGTTAAAAATAAGTCAAACCGTTAAAATCTTATGGAACGCAAAGATCGGGTCACATTTTTGTCCAACTGTCCGAACTAAACTGAGTAACACTTAAATTTGTCACAAAAATGTGTGAAGCTTAATGTGTAGAGCAATCTACTCACACCTCTCTGAACAAGAGATTCTTCAGGTAATTTTGAACTATTCCATATAAAATGTTAATCTGAATATTCCTGAAGTGTCGGTATTTTTGTTAGAAGTGAAAAATTTCAGAGGAAACTAGAACAAAGGATTAACAGCAGTAATTGCTAAAAATCATTCGGTCGCCAAATTCATTTTCAAGGATCCACTACCTCAACCGAACATGACAATCCCATCTCAAGATAATAAACCGTGTGATGAATCCGTCGTGCTTATTTAAAACAGTTGGTGGAAAATATTGTCAGTCTTCGTTATTTCAGAAATTTTCATCAGCTCTTAAAATCCCATATTTTGTTGAAATGATCAAAAGTCATTGACATGGTGGATAATATGTTCTTTACTGTGGTATTTGAAAAGTGATGATGAGAATCTCTCTCGAATTCTGCCTTTAATATGCAAACACCGATTTCTTATGTGTGAAGAGGGATGCGTTTCCTCTTTAATGCTAGTTAGTAGATGTGTAGTTTGTTTTGTCGTACAAAACCATTAAGGTCCCCACAGATATTCAGAGTTTAACAACGCTTTTGTCCGTAACACGTTTATAATTGAAAGGTACCAATCATAAATCGGGCATGAGTTCGAAGATATATTTAGAGAGTGGTCGATATGTTGAGAAGCGTCTGACCCGAGCTAGCTATTACTTGCGAGGGATAAGTAGCACGACGTGCCCACTCGTAAGCTGGTGCGGATGCGTGACCTAGCGCCTTCAGCTAGGATGTGTCCAGTAAAACTAGTGAGATCAGTACCAATGTTGAATACTTGCAGAAATATGTAACTCAGGGAGTTATTTACCACTACATCATCCTTGCAAACTCTTAGAATGTGTACTGTCACTCGATTGACAGTTAAGATTGCGAATTCACAAACATATTTTTTGTCTTATAATTGGGTTTATTCTTTCGTTACATTTTTCACATGATCGAAAAGTAACTGAATTTCATGTTTCCTACCATCGCTTTTGTCGTTTAAACTGAAATTTACAAACTGTTTCTCCTGGATTGGAATAAATTAGCAATCATTTCTGTACAGTTAGTTTGCGTTGGATTTTTCAGAACAAACTACTTTTATTATCTAACTATTTTTATCATCATTATCATGTTTGTGGATTATTTCCAAATTGTATAACGTACTCATTGTAATAAAGACGGATAAGTCATAAGAAATTCATATTATGGCTGTAAAGAATTGCGAATTTCATGATATCATAACCTCTAATGACTAAAAATTTATAAACTTTTTAGATCAGCAGAATACATATTGTAATGAAGAAGACCTAAAATTGTCGGCATATTTATTTTGTTTGGTAATGATCACACAGCGTTTTGTGGGACGGGGTGCTTAGGCCTTACCCTATGATCGTTTAATTTCTTAAGGTATTTAATTATAATGATTTTGTAATTATATGAAGCATAGAAATAAAAGTGTAATACTCTAACAGAAAAACTTAATCATATTTATACACTTAACAGAAAAGGAAAGAGTAAGTAACCTGATAAGTTGTATTATATTTTTCGGTTATAGTAGCTTCATTTTATGATGTGCTTTAAGTCATGGGTTAGTGGATATCTAGTACTACCAGGTTCAAATTTGTCCACTGGGTAGACATAGTTTTTGATCTATTTTTGTTTGATAACGAATCTCTATTTGTACATACAAAGTGCGAAAAATATCTGTTTGAAACACTTAAATATAGGCACAATAATATTCCGAAGCAATAAATAATAAATGAAATGTCATCAGTAAACTTTCATTTGTATTTATTATGGTTTTAGCTTAGTAGTATTCGTTACTGAATTCAATGTATAAGCAGGAGTGTTTTTTACATAGATTGTGTTCAGGATTTAGATTTCTAACAAGTAAAATAATACCAGTTGTTGAAGTACATGTAATTTTTGTTTGAGTGATTATTAGTTTTGGTATATAATTAATCTCACTATCTAACCGCTTTTTACATAGAAAATTGTATCTCTAGTTTCTAAGAACTAATTACAGAATTTTCTATAATTTGCTTTTTGCCGCTACCTTAAAATATAGATCAACTGTACAGTAACTCACTGATAGGATTGAGAATATATTTCATTAGTTCCATATGATATCTATACAGAAATTAGCAAGATAAACAATGGAAGTAAGCTCATTAGAAGTTTAAGTGTTTTATTAGTCACAGAAAAGCTAATTCGAATGGGATATTTCTAATGAATTGACAGAAAATGAAATACTGAGCGGTTGAAAATATATTCATCAATTTGCATATATTTTATGTGCTGAAAATGAATCCCTACATTAACTAACACTCAACATATGACACAATGACTGGTCGATCGCACAATACTATATTATAAATGTGATTCGATATTTTTTTGTAAGTATTAATGAAGCACGGTGATATATAATATCGTAAACGTAGTTGACTTGACCCCCAAAAGTATCATCTTAATGGATAAACAATATCATTTGAAATTAACTTGAACAAGTGGTTCGAAGTTTTCAGGAAAATAATTGAATGAACTCCTAAAATATGTAACACGGCCTCCAGATAAACCACATGGAAAAGTGAACTAATAAAATAAAAATCGTAACGAGCTACTTAAAATGTATCAAAGATACAAGTTGCAAAATGACAATAGTCCAGTTTTAGTGCCATTATAAAACCAGTTTTTTCGCCTTCTTCATTCTTTACTATTTCATTGTCAAACAATTCAGTTTGATTATTAGTTAGAAAAATCAACAACATAAAATGAATTCAAGTGCTTACACAGACTTTCTCCATAACTGCTTTCATGAAGATAAATCTGAGAAGGAGTTATGAGTTTTTGTGTTTAGATGTTCACTATCGAAAGAAGAAATTACAAAGCTAAAGAGTTTACATTTCTGACGATTCTTAATATATAGTTACAGAATTCTATGATTTACTAAACCACTTGGAAATTAAATTAGGAACAAACTAGTGTTTAGACATTACATAAAGGTCTACTAGGCTCATATTTTGAGTAAATAAATATGTCTTAAGTTGTGGTGTTTGAATGAACTAATGATTCCTTCGTAC